ACACTTAACTGAGCCAGATATTTGTGACTTCCCTGCTGGCTCACATTCTGCATCTCAGCTACTCAATGCAGACCACAGAGCAGGCTCTAGTTGTGAGGGGGTGACCATACTGCACACTCATTTCCTTAGGGAGAACTATAGCTATTGCAACCTTAGCTTAGGGGAGCAGTTCCACTAAGATGGAAAAAAGGCATAGGTGGCCCCTGACTGCCACTCAGGAGGTCCTTGGGAAAGGCTTGCAGCTTAGGTCAGGTATCTTGGGTGGTTTATTCTCAGGGTAGACTTATTGTTAACCCTTGAGCATATGTTGTTCACAGAGGACCAATTCCTTAAGACCAAAGTGAAACCCAAATAGAAAGGATGTCTGAATAGGAGCTTCTTCCCTTCCCTTCTTTGGGGAGTTGGGGGATTTAGAGTTTGTTTTCAGAAGGAGCTTTAGTTGGTTGTGTTAAACATAAAAGCCTCCCCTCTCCATGCCATGCTTATAAAAGTTTAGGTGCTGTCTTGAACTGTTGGTTTGATGGTCACACATAGGATCTTGAGATCTTATAGTGTGGCTCCTGGTGCTGCCCTGGGTTCTATTTTACAGAGGATGTGTGTGGGTACTTGCTATGCTGATGTGTGAAACAGACTTTCTCTTGTCAACTGTCTCCATACGAAAGAAGGTAGGGTGGAATATCCCTGAAGGACCCACTGGGGCTCAGTGCTATGCACAGGTGCCATTTAGGTTTCATCTCTAGCCCCTTGGCCTTCAGGTGGGAATCAGTTTAGCTCTGCTCTGCTGTCTTCCTTGAGTAAGACCTGTACCTGGTCCCAGGTGAACATTTTGACTAGCTGTGGACTCATACTAGGAATATTTTGCTTCCTGGACTCTTTGGGAGCTTACCTGGACAGTTCTCCTCAGAGCCAACATCAGCATGTCTGGTTTGGATCCTTTTCTGCCTAGATATAAATTTGTATGTGGAGAAACAACTGTTTTGTTTTATCAGGGTGTAAAGTTGCTGAAAACATTTCTGTGCCCTGGCCTTTGGTACCCACAGAAGATAATTCCTGGGCTCATGTGGTGGACTGCAGCTACTGGGGTTCAGTAGGCAGACCCCCTGCATAAGTAGAATCCTTTGGGTGGTCAGGGTCCCTAGAGTTGCAGAAAGGCTGCTTGCTTCAGTCTCTTAGGGAGACCTAATTTTTTTTTTTTTTAAACTTTATGTGAATTGGTGTGAAGGTATCAGATTCCCTGGAACTAGGGTTACAGACAGTTGTAAACTGCCTCTGGAGGAACAGGCAGTGTCCTTAACCTCTAAGCCATCTCCCCAGCCCCAAGGGAGACCTTTCTTACCAAGGACATTGTAGCAAGTTTGAAAGGTTTTTGTTTTTTGTGGGTTGTGTGTGGGGAACAATCTTGCCCTGCTAACCAGGCTATTGAACTTCAGGGCTCAAGATATTCCTGTTTCTGTTCCCAAATATCTGGCACAGTTGACTGCCAACACATCTGGATGCTTTGTTTTATTGTTTTGTGATTGTTGTTGGGTTTTTTGTTTGTGTGTTTTGTTTGTTTTTCTAGACGGGGTTTATGTGGCTATCCTGGAACCTATTTTACAGAACCAGCTGGCCTCAAACTCAGAGATCTGCCTACCTCTGTCTCCTGATGTTTTGTTTTCTTAATTGGAATTTTCATGGAGAAAGGGAACTAGGACAGATGACCAGAGATTTGTTGTGTGTGTTTGTGGGGTGGCTCAGTTCATTGTGCAAAAAGTTACGGGATCTACTATCTGTTGATTAGGTTCCAGGCCCAAGAACTTGAAGAACCAGTAGTTTTCATCCTGGCCCTTTGTGAAGCCCAACAACCAATACACAGGCCAGGGCATAGGAGAGGAGGTGGACGTCCAGCTCAGAAAGAGGATATATGCCCTTCTTGGATCCTGTTATTCTTTCCAGGTTCTTGGTGCATGGGTGATACCAGTGTATTGGACAGGGCAGTCCTGTCTTTGGCTGGTGATTCTAATGCTTCTCAAATCCACACTGTGTTTTTCCCATGTCATATAATGTGTGTCATGCATGTGCTTTGGGGGATGACTTTACAATTTTTTTTTTCTTGCTCATACAGGACATAGTTTGCCTTATGTCGAGTAAGAACTGAAGGACATGGATGTGCAGGACATATTCCTGTGTCTGGGACATAGCAAATAGGACAGCAGGTTAAAATCAGGTTTCTGTGATGACTATGATTGATTCTTAGGCAGAAAGAAGGCATTATCTTCTCTCTGAAATCAGATGAAAACAGGGTTTAGTAGCCCCTGGTCCCCTTGACTACATGATCAGCACTTGGACTGGGGACCCAATTTCTGTCCTAGGTGGCCTGTCAATGAATTAGGCCCAACTCATATGTATCTGAGAAAAAGTCAGGAGTATGAAAATGAAGCATTCCTAGAGAGTGTCTGACCAAGACTGCTGCTGCAGTTAGAGAAACTGTGATACTGTTAGTCTCTGAGGGATAAAAGCTGCAAGTGTTTGCCCAGAATAGCCAAATCTGGTCTCAATATTTGGACGAATAACCCTAGGCCTGACAGGTTAGAGGCCTCTTGAATCTCCTAATGTCCCATGGTCATTTTAATGGGTAAAAAGGCTGGACCTTTATCATACTAACTTGGGAATCTGTGACTTTTGACCCATGTACTGGAAGGGTAGGCCCTTTGAACTCAGAAGACATGAGAGAGAGGAGATGCAAGATATGCCCCATTAGAGGACACATCTCTAGTTCAGCAATACTTGTTTACCTTGATAGGGACCCTCAAGCAACAGCAGGGTCAGTCCTCCATTGGTTGTGAGCTTTATTCTGTAGTTTGGTCCTGGGATATATGAGCTCTGGATTCCAGAATTAGCTATGACCTGGGAGCTTTATGTTTCCCTGGGCTCCCAAGCCTTAGATTTTTTCCTACTTGGCATGCATTATTAGAATACACTGAATTTTAGTGTGTGTTTTATCCTTGTCAGTGTCCTCCTGAGTCGTAAACACACTTCCTAGGGTCTGCTTACTGCTGAAATGAAAGCAATTGCTTCTCAGATAATTCAGTGGACAGCTGTTGGATGTCTTGACTCCTAGCACATATTCCTTTCAGAACAGCGAATGCCCGTGATGTGTTCCAAAGGTGACAGCAAAATGCAACAAAGCTTTGTATAACAAACCATCATCTTAGCCATTTCTGATGTGTATGTCAGTGATGTTTATGTATCCACAGTATTAGTCATCATCACTGTTAGCAAGTTGTAGAATGTTTTCATCCAGACAGAAACTCCAGCCCACTCCTAAAACTATTCAGCTCCTTCCTGAAGCCCCTGGCAATCTGGAACCTGTTTTCTGTCCCTATAGTTTGCTCATTTGGATATTTCACAAACTTGGACTCATGCACTGTATGGCCTTTGGTGTGTTGGCTTCTGCTCAAGGTGTCTGCAAAACTCAGCGGCTTGATGTAATCTCGTTAGTTTTATGGATAAAAAAAAATTCCATTCTGAGTGTGAGCTACATGTTTTTACTCACTCTGATGGTTAATAATCAACTTGGTGGGTTTTAGAATCACCCCGTGAATGTGTCTGTGAAGGTGTTTCCAGAGGTTTTAGTGAGAAGACCCACCCAGGTGTAGGCTGCATTACCCTATACTCTGGGGTCCTAGACTGAATAAAAAGGAGGAAAAGAGTGAGCTGAGCACCAACCGTCATCTCTGCTTCCTGACTACAGATGCAGTGTGACCAGCTGCCTTAAGTTCCTGCAACCGTGACTTCCCCACCACACAAGGACTGTACCCTTCTACTGTGAACCAAAATAAAACTGCTTCTCTCAGTTGCTCTTGTGAGGTCTTTTGTCACAGCATTGAGAAACCAATCTAACATCCACTCACTTTCTAATGCTTACAGTGTGCTACAGCTGGGATTGTCACTGATGCTCTGCCATGACTATTTTCCAAAAATGTTTCATGGGCCTAGGGGGAAAGACACAGACTGCTATTTCTGTCCAGAATTCCTAATAACCCCTGACTTTGTGGTTCCTGGCTGGGTTCATTCCTACCCAGCATTTGTTTTTGTCTTTTTCTTTTGAGACAGCCTCACTATACAACCCTTGAAATCACAGAGGTCCGTCTCAACCCAGGGTTTTATAAGAGAACTGGGGATGTATTGATGCCAACGCTCTGCTCTGCAAGGTGAGTGTGTGTCTAGGGGAGCACTTGGTTATGCCTTCCAGCTCTCTCACTAGCTTACACTTAGGTGGGTGCTGAGCTGGGCCATTTCCTGTGTATATGTGTCTGCATGGTATGAAAGGTAACATACCATGAAAGACATTGTATTCCAGCAAATGCATGTTGTACCCCGCTGGGAAACCCATGATAAAAGTCAACCCAGTCAGGACACAAGGTTGTCCAGAAATTCTGGGCAGAAGTTTCTGCTTGACCTCTACACTTCAACATCTTTCTGTTCCGTCTTGTCTGACCTTGTGCCTCAGCACAAGTCCCAGGCTAGGAATGTGCCACCCACCCCCCATTCTAAACCCTAGAGGCATTGCTGTGGGTTGTGACTCCCTTGGGGATCATATATTAGATGCCCTGTATATCAGATAATTACAATTCACAACAGTAGCAAAATTACAGTTATGGAGTAGCAACAAAATAATTTCATGTCACCACAATGTGCAAAATTGTATTAAAGAGTCACATTAGAAAGGCTGAAAACCACTGCTTAGGTTCTGAAGGCTTCCTTACACCAGCACAAGTCCTGACACCCGTGCAGGTGCAGACAACCCAGTCACACTGGCTTCTTATGGAGACTTTATTCAAAGACCAAGAAATAGGGATGCCAGGGAGGGAGGACAGCCTGGACAACCAGGAGACTCCAGTTTATTAGTACTTGGTTTAACAGTACTTGGAGGGCAGCACTGTGCTCACAGAGGCAAGGAATTTGTCTAGAGATGCCTGAATCACAGGAGTGAACTCAGCCTGAATGTGGCAAGCCAGGGTCACCATCAGGCAGTGGCTCAGGAGCAGCTGCAGGGACAGGAAGTTTTAGTCACTGGGCTGAACTTTTTGAAACCACTGTATTCACTGCTCTGGGCTCAAGGGGCTACACGTCTTCCCTGCTGGTCCTAGATCCTGCTCCTTAACCCTGAACACCTCCCACTGCCACCACCATCAGACCACAGCAAATACTTTGAAATTCTCAGGTTGTACACGCAGCTTGTGGGCCTGCAGGTCTCAGAGTAGACAGGGCACCAGGCAAGTCATCCAGGAGTCTAACTGTGGAGGTCAGGGCGTTGTTAACTGTATTTCATTCACTAAACTGGGTGGGTGTCCATCATCTGGGGAGTCTTGGTGCCATTCCAGTTCCTATGGATACTCTGTATATGTCCCTGGAAAAACCACACTTGAGACTTAGTGTCAGAAAATGGGAACAGTCAGCTGGGTCAGCGCAGGGGACCTTCAGCTCAAGAGATGCACCAAGAAGGAAAGATACTGTGCTTTGGATTTCCCAGAAATACTCGGTGCTGAGGCCAGCCTAACCTCTTTCACACAACAAGCTGCCCTACTCTCTTGGGATCAGTGTTGCAATCACCTCATCCCAAGCAGTTGAGTCTTGCACAGAATGCTTTAACCACAGCCTCCCTGATACCTGAACTCCCGACATACCCACATACCCTGGGCATGGCTGGGCTGAGCAGGCAGGAGTTCATGACAGTGATTTTCTCTGGCACAGTGCCCAGTGTCCTGGACATCCCCGCACACATTCATTGAGCAGCGTCTATAGCTGTGACCTCCATGTATGGATCTAGCCTTGCACTAAGACTTGGCCGTGAGCAGAGTCTAGACACAGACCAGAAGCCAAGGTAGAGGGCACAGTTTTTCTGTCCTGACTGCCAGTCTCTGCCCTGGCCACTGTTTCCAAATTGTCACACAAACACTAATATTACTTGTAAATGCTCGGCCAATAGCTCGGGTTGTTACTAGCCAACTCTTACATTTAGAATAACCTATCTCTACTAATCTAAGTATTGTCACGTGGCTGGTGGCTTTACTTGTCCTCTAGCATGTCTTGCTTTCTGGGCAGCTGGCTGGTGTCTCCTCACTCTGCCCTCCTTCATCCCTACTTTCTCAGTTTGACTTTCCAGCCTGACTTCCTGCCCAGCCACCAGCATGCTAGCTTTTTATTAATTAATGACAATGATACATAGTCATAGTGTAGAAAAGGATTGTTCCACAACACCCAGGGGAGGGTGATGGCTGGGGAACAAGGTTGTTTTCAGCATTGTCCCTTATGCTGACCTGTGACCTTTGTACCTGTCACCCTTTTGAGACACAAAAGTTACCATTCTGCAACTGATGCAGCCAAGGTTAGAGGCATGAATTTGTAAGTCAGGGCCATAGATGCTCCACAGTGGAGATGGCCCAAGGCTCCCCTGATGCCTGGGGACATGTGGAGGTACAGGCCCTCCAGCTGCAGGTGGTATTCTTGCTACCACTCAGCTCTTTGCAGTGTGTTCACAGAACCTGATTACCTGCTCTAAAGATTGAATTCATTCACTACCTGCCCATGCTTTCTCTGCTAGCTACAGTTTCTACAGCTTAGAGCACTTCTGCATGCAGGAGGCCCCTCTTCCCACCTCCAACACAGAACACAGACAAAGGGTTAAATTAAAATAAAGAGAGTCTCACCAGGCACTGGTGACACACGCCTTTAATCCCAGCACTCTGAAGGCAGAAACAGGTGAATCTCTGTAGTTTGAGTCCAGCCTGGTCTACAAGAGCTAGTTCCAGGACAGGCTTCAAAGCTACAGAGAAGCCCTGTCTCAAAAAACAAACAAACAAACAAAAAAAACCACCAATACCAACAACAACAAAAAAGAGTCTCTGTGGAGCCGGGTGTGGTAGGGCAGGCAAGCCTTGTAATCCATGGACTGGTAGGTGGGCATAGGGCATGGGGGTAGGTTGGAGATGGGACTGGAAACAGAAGGATCAGGAGTTCAAAACCAACCTAGTCTATATTATGGATCTGAGAGGCCAGGCTGGGTTACACGAGACCATTAAGCCTATCTTAAAACGAAAAATAAACCAAACCAAAATACAAGGATCTGCCAGCTTTCACAGGAGGTCTATGACTCCAGCTTAGCTGAAATTCCAGCCTCTTGGAACCTTGCTTTGGGATCCCAGGATACATCGTCAGCGATATTTGGAGACCAGTGCCAAAGTCACAAGGCCCAGGAACTTGTCTAGGGAGGCGTGCATCTTTGGGCTGAAGTCTCCAGGATAGTGTCGGGCAAGAGTCACCAGCAGACAGTGGCTGAAGAACTGGATTAGAGAAAGAATCGCCCCGCCTTGTTTTTATCTCTCCCTGACACCCAGACTTGAAGGGACCCTCCTCTGCAGCAGCCACCAGAGCAGCTCAGTCCCAGAACCCACCTGAAAGTTAGCGGGGTCAACGCGGACCTTGTGAGCATGCAGATCGCTGAGAGCAGAGAGAGAACCAGGCAGGTCGTCCAGGTGGTGGGCAGCGAGAGTCAGTGCATCGGCTACCTTTTGGCCATGGGCTTTAACCTGACTAGAGCCGGGGCTCAGGTCCAAGTGTGGGAAGTAGGTTTTGGTGGAGGGGAAAGCCATGAAGGTCCTGTGGGAAGACTGAGTTGGGTGCATCCTGGCTGGGAGGTGTAGAGAGCCCGCCGTCGCCCCGCCGTCCATCGGAAGGTGAGCCCGAGGGCGCCCGAGTGGGTCCTTACCTCTCCAAGGCCTCGGTAGTGTAGATTCCAACATTGGTGCTCATCTTTTTCCACAGCGCGAGAACCAGAGCGCGGTCAGTCTGGGACAGAGACATCTTCACTGAGCTGTGGCCTCGCTCCTGTCTTCCCGGCTGTGGGCAAAGACGCCCGGAAACCCGGGGTGCCGCCAGAGGGCGCCGCTGCGTTTCAACTCGCCTAGGTACTGGGCTTATCTTGGATTTACAGCCCATTTGTTCCCTTAAGTCCCAAAGCCTCACATTTTTAAGTGTTTACTGTATGGACAAAAGTATCTGATTTGTACTGTCGTATTATAATGGATTTGATGTGTTATTTTGACACTGCCAATTTATCCTGCCTCCTGAGTCCTTTGGATATTTCATAGTGAAAGGAACGCTTCCTGGTATATCCCTTCCTCGAGAAACCCACTAACCTTACTTGGGTCTATCTTATTTTTCATTAAATTTCACATATTTCAATCTACATTTAAAGAGTCTGGAAAGATGTCTCAGCAGTTGAGAGCACTGGCTATTTTCCCAGAGGACCTGGATTTGATAACTCCAGATCCAGTGACTATGAAGCCTTTTTCTGTCTTCCACGGTCTGCAAGTGGTACGCACACATTCGTGCAGTTGAAACACCCACACTGATAAAATAAAATTAAAAAAATTCAAATATACATTAAAAAGCCCTTTAAACTGGGTGTGGTGGCAGAGGTACAGGTTAATCCCAGCACCCAGGAGTGAGAGACAAAGGGGTCTCTGTGAGTTCAAGACCATCCCGGTCTACATAAAGATTTCAGACCAGCCAGAGCTACATAATGAGATCCTGGCTCTACACTCCCTCCCCCCAACACAATCCCTTTTAATAAATTCTAAATTTATTAAAATTTAAAAATGTATTATTCTTAGAGTTATAATAAATAGATGGATGAGAAATAATATATGCCTAGTCCCAGGACAAGTTCCTCTGGGGACAATAACTTTATGGATACCTATACTGTGTCTCAATGCTGATACCAAGGGACAGTGATTCACTCACTACTACACTAAAGAGTTATCTCTCCCTGGTCTGTGTGTCTGTGTGTGAATATGTTCTACCTCCCAAGTTCTGGGATTGCAGGCATGTGCCACAAAGCCCTGTGTAATTTAGCTATCTTTGATGTGTACAAGTTAGTGATCTTATGTAATTTGCAATGTTATGCAGTCATCCCTTATACCCATTTCCTGAATTTTTCCTCACCTAAACAGAGCCTCCAGCCCCCTAGTGTTAGTTATCCAGCCCTT